ACATTTTTTTACATTTTGTATTTTTTTATTTGTAGAGCAATTTATACAAATCAACCACAAAACCAAGTGGCACAAGTCAACAAGTTGGCCTCAAACAACTCCAATAATCATTATTAGTTGACTCCAAAACGTAATAATATCCATGCAAAATCCAGATTCAAAATTCTGAAGTACCTAAAAATCCAATCTATTTCCCAAAACAAATGAAAGAAATTCCAAAAACCCTGTTATGTTCTTACATGCTTTGAAAGATATAACTTTCAATGGTCAAAGATACAAAATCACTATGATGCTCATATGATCTATTTGATGAAACCCAACGCATCTAACTTCTCTGGTATCTTCATTTCCTAGTTTTTAAAAAGAGAAAAAATACTGTAAATTGTTTGATGGACAAGTTCCCCTTCTTCGTTTCTTAATTTTGACGCTAAAATTCCATTGAACTTTACCATCCAAATCATACACCCAGCAGCAAATTCCATAACACATGGCAAGAATTTGTTGAGTGCATCAACACATATAAATGATGGCACAGCTACAATATGCTGTATCAAGAAAACCTACTTTATCAAGAACCAATATTGAATTTTTCAAAGTATTATATACTCTTTGTAACTATCTGGGGAAAACCTACTTTGTCAATAATCAATGATTAATTTTTCATTGTAATTTTTGTTTCATAAAAATTATCAACTAAAGGAAGGTATAGAAAAAAAAGATTGGATCCCCAACTTTAATGCTTATAAACTGTTACATTTTAGCTACTTTTATAGTATCATGTAATTTGGTAGGCATTTGTTCTGTCATAATCTCAAACAAAACAAATTACCTGAGGTAGCAAATGATACTCCAAAACCAGAGCCCACCCCAAAAAAAATGAATGGTCATAATTCCAATGACAAGAATGAGTTTAGCTGCTTCTACTTTCTTAATGTTAACATGCTCAATTCAAACATAGCAACAAGAAAATCTTAAGCACAAAAATGCTTCAAATACAAATCTTCGAAATCCAAGTAGTAAACAAAAAGAATTATACACACAAGTATAGCAATAATACTTACAAGTACTTATTTATATCCACTACCTCAATATTTGTCTTCCTCCACTACCTCAATATTTGTCTTCCATGCATTCAAAAATGTAATAAAGGAATACAATATATCTCATTTGTTAGGAATTTTATGATAATGTCTATCAAAATCTTGACAAATAAGGTGATACTTTATTATATGCTAATATTTCTTGTCCAAAGTATGCTTAAGATGTTACTTAAAAAATGGGCAAAAATATATATTTGTTACCGACAAAGATGTGTACATTGAAGCCTCTTCTCAAGGAAATCTTGCACCTAGGAGAGCGAAGGGTTGAAAAGAGATAATCTGGTAGCCAAAGCTTCCTTGAAAGAAGTGGAGCCACTCATTGCCCTCGTGGGATGTTGATAAAATGATAGCATTAAAAAAAAGTTGAAGAGAGCAAGTTTCAAGAGTTTTATGTTCGTAGAGTACAAATGAACCCCCTTCCCTTCTCATGTGGTCTCTTCTTTGAATCAACCAATGGTATGATAGTCTGTTTGATGATATACAAGTTAGGGACCCTATTACGGCAATTTTAAAAGGTTGAGGACCATGGTTCACATTTGATAGGTTGGGGACCCAAAGGATGCACTTACCAATGGTTGGGGACTCCAGCTAAAATTTACCCAAAAACTCTTGAACATGGAACTGGAAGACAAGGAAAATAATATCTATTTCTTTGATCTTGTAATTTGAATATTGTATACTCACATCACATGTTTAATAATAATGCTAAATTCCTTCCCATTCCCTTAAATTCTAAATTCCATTACACGTAGGTCACGTAAACAATAAATTTCAAACATTTATGGTTTTCAATAACATTCTCCTAATCTTCAAATGTTTTATTTTCTTCATTATATTCATCCATATAGTGGTCATGGAGAGTGGTTGGTTGAGTTACACTACAAACAAAAGTGTACTAAACAGGCTGAAAGTCTGTATAATCAGGCAGCTTGCCAAAGGTAGTATAACCAGATTCTGGCAAGTTTCTTGCTTAAAGAACTAAAATCTCAACTACCGTGTTCCATTTTTTTTAGAAAGGAGAAATCACAGACATATAGTTGGCCATGTTTGATGCTAACATTTAACGACTTCATATTTGTTAAGAATAAGGGGAATGAATAAGAAGTTCTTTAGAACCTTTGATAATAAGTAGCATGGAACATCATAACAGAGATTGAAAGCATAATATTATTATAGCATATCACTCAGCAGCTGCTTGCAACATTCCATCAGTTATAATACAATCACCTTAGAGAAGAGCTCTTAAACCAATCCTAAATGAGCGAACGCATGCTTTTAGGATTCAATTTACACACAATATGATGAAATCAACTAATGATACCTTCAATAACAAGGTCATCGTGACAAGAGATAAAACAAGCATAAAAGTCCACAGATATATGGCCAATTAGGGACCTACTTTTCTGAAACCAGCCATTCACTTAAAATGATTAATCTCTTTCTTTCTATCATGTTCATCCATACATTGCTATTAACATTAGCAGATTGGTACTAGCTGCTATAGAAGGAGAAATCAAGTTTCAAAGAAATAGGTTAATTATTAGGGAGATTGAATAAAACGGAACAACATGCCGGAAAAGTGAACAGTAGGGATCTCATTTTGAGCCCTAACTCACTCTATGGCAAGTTAGTTATCTATGTAAGGATTTAAAACAACCGACAGAACACAGATTCGTCGATAGAAAAATTCAATCTAGAAATTGAAAGGCTTGCTCAAGATCCTCCTTTTTCTTCCGAACATAAGTAATAAATGAGATCCCAACACCAAAACAAAATATAATCTTACCTAACAGAGATCTTGCTACTATGATGAAGGAAAATAGGAGTTCTAATAGAACGACAGAGAGCTAGGGCTCAATCTTTTGGGTTTTTTTTGGGTCAAGTGGATGTTGCAACAAAAAGGTGACAGACAAAGGAGGAGTGTCGTGGTGCAGCAGATGAGACAACAGAGTAAGAGCGGGAAATGATGACGGTTAGGGCTTATCTATTGGTAGTAAGCAGAGACCGAGAGAAAAGGTTGGGTCAAAGTCGTTGGTCGGAGTTCGCTGGAAATCGCTGCCTACAATGCTGGCTCGTCTTATTTCTTCTCTATAGATTAGGAGCTTATTTGATAATGGTTTTAAACTAATTAAAATCAATTTTTCACTATTCAACCGTCATTTTTAAATTCTTCTCTCACAGGTAAGATTCATTTCATCTCCAACAATCAAAAAATCAATTCTCAAAATCTCTACTAAACATTCTCTAGTAGGTAAAGAATAGAGAAGCTTTAGAAATACAAAAGGTACATACACAGAAGATATTTAGCTAGGAACAGTAGGGATCTCATTTTGAACAGTGGAGACCAGTTTCTATCATTCCAATGTAAGAGTTTTGTAGTATAGTACTGAACTAGTTGTGGACCAGTTGAGAAGCTAGCTCGTCTAATAAGGTTTTGAGGGACCAAACAAGTGTGAATGCTTAGGTCCAAAAATGAACAGTGCAACTCCGTTCACTCTTTTAAAGTAAGTAGGATTATAGTTAATTGAGGAATTTCAACAAGGCTTAATTTGAATTTCTTCAAGAATTTTTTAAAAGGCTAATTTTTAAATTTTTTTATGAAAAGCAAATGGCAGAAGTGGGAGATGGGAGGATGAGATGTGGAAGAAGGAATGGGTTGAATAGTGAAATTGAATGGTATTAAGTTGGAATCTTGGATGGTATTAGGCTTCTTCACCTCTTATTTGGGCATTGCCAATGTAGGTTGGAGTGTTAAAAAAAATTTGGGCATTTGGGCTGGGTTAAAATGTTTAACTTTCTACTATGTTTAATAAATGTTACCAAAAGGTTAACTTTTTGCAGCGTTTAATAAATGCCGTGAAAAGTTTAACTTTCTACAACGTTTAATAAACGTTGCTAAAAACTGTATATCTAAGTATCCGCAACAATCATTGAATGTTGTTATTGAACGAACTTTTAATAACGACTAATAAAAGTTGTGAAAACTTTTTGCAACACTTAATAAACGTTGCAAAAAAGTGACATTGCAATATTCTTTTAAAAAATGTTGCCAAATCTCATTTGCATTTACCAATGGCAACATTCACTTACATTTTTTTGCGATTGACACCTTTAGCAACATTCAAATAACAAATGTTGCATTTTATGTGTTGCAAAATGACATTTTTATTGTAATCGATTTTCAGTTTATTTATTTTTCTATACAATTTGCTTTTATCAAACCCCATGTCCATATATCGGGCTAGGGATGACAATGGCTCGGCTCGGCTCGACCCGACCCTTTAATCAATGAGCTCGGCTTGGGCTCGTGATTTTATTTTTATTTTTTTTGTGTAAATTTGCACATTTTTGACGAGCCCACAAGCTCGACTCGTGAGATTGAGCCCCCTGACAAGCCCGAGCCGCCCACGAGCCATCGTCCGTTTGACATCCCTATATCGGACCAATCACTGCCATCTTTGCCTCCAAACGGCATTGTATTTATTGATAAAATATCAAATGCACACCTACTCCAACAAACCCTCGTTTAACTTTTAGCTAAAGTTTCATTTTAATCAATCATGCAACTGATATTGTTTGAGATTGATAGCTGAAATTTACATTTCCCCATGATTAGTCAGTTAGTTAGAATCCGTAAATCAAACTGATAATTACACTCATATGGTAGATGAGACATAGACATTTCATTATCATGGTTGTCCACAATTCCAAAGAAAATAACTAGAGTTTGGTAAATTAGGTGTGAACTAGGGTTTGGTGGCAATGATGACTAATGAACTATATGTTTACCGTGGCCATAGCATCGATAACTTATTAATAGTTTGTTTGAGTCCCATTTGTGGAAGAATGGATTTTGTATTAGTGATTTTTTAAAAAATTTGTGTTAAAATTTTGAGATTACCCCGACGACCCTTCATAGCACCACTCCGTTTTCATGGAACGTACGTCCTCCGGGTTGTTAATGTAAGTCATGGTCTTTTATCATGCCTTTCCCGCTCGCTGCTTTCCCTCTTTTTCTCCCTTCAATGCCTTACCCTAGAAGGACTCTACTACAGCAGTCCTACAATTTCAAACAACTAATGATGTCTAAATTACAAAAATAATTGTTCAATTTATGAGTTACAAACTATAAAACAAATTTTGTTTATTAATTAAACTATCACAATATTATTCTTGTAGCCGCATAAAATCTAGAAAAACCATGAATATATTGAAAATATTTTGATATCTTTAACATGAGAAATATTGGATTTTCATTAATTTCTCGGCATGCAGTTAGTTTTTCTAAAATTAAAGAATGTGGAAAATATTTTTTTGCTGTAGCTTTAGTGCACGAAATAAATAGATTTCTGATCTCTTTGTTTCTGATTAGGAAATATTTTTATTGAATTAATTATACGCTTTCCATGTAGTTTAATGAATCTGACTGCATTATATATGTATAACCCAACAAGAAAAATAACAATAAATTCATACAATATTATAAGGAAAGAATATAATCCTAAATTCATAAAATATTATATGCATTCCAAATCCACATACACGTATATTTGGAGAAATATTATAATCGGTTCAGATTATAAAAATAAGTTTGACAAAAAATTTAAACACTTTCCATATATTCACATACATATTTTCTGTATATTTTCAGCATATTTCATTGCCTCTATTAATTTATTTCCTTTCTCCTTCTTGAGGGAGTTGTATAGATATGTCTTTCATTTTTGTAATGAAAATTATACAGAAAACTTTCCAGCAACATTGTTAATTTTTCTCTAAATATATCGACATAATTCTTAGTTATGGATCATGTTCGTCTTAGCCTGCTCGTGATTTTCTCCATTGCTGGTGCATATTCTATCAAAGCTGCTGAAGTTCCATTTAATCAAAACTATGTTCCGGCATGGGGAGGTGATCATATCAAAGTTCTTGATCAGGGAAGACAAGTTCAGCTTCTAATAGACCGATCTTCAGGTTTTTCCCTAATTAATAGTCATTAATTTCTTAGTGTCTGTCCACTTCATGGTATGGCTCATAATTTTTTTCCTATTGAATAATAGGATTGTATCTTGTTAATAATGTATTCGTGTTCTAAGTTATCTTGTTTCTTTTGCGGGTGATATAGGAGCTGGATTTCGATCAAAACAGTTTTTCGGCTCTGGGCTTTTCCGGATCCTAATGAAGATTCCAAGCAAGAACACTAAAGGAATTCTCACAACGTTTTTCGTAAGAATTTTTAGGGTTTATACATCGTCACAAGAAGTTCACCTAATTATATATGCATCTAATTATAAGTTGATTATTTTACATGCAGTTAACTTCAGCTACACCTAATCAGCCTGTAAAAAACCACGATGAGCTTGATTTTGAGTTCTTGGGCAGCAATGACAAGGGTTATGCATTGAATACAAATGTTTTTGCCAATGATTTTGGAGGCAGGGAACAACAGTTCAGGCTTTGGTTTGACCCTACTGCAGATTTTCATACATACGAAATTCTTTGGAACCAAAAGCAGATAGTGTATTTCCTCTTAATAACGACTAATAAAAGTTGTGAAAACTTTTTGCAACACTTAATAAACGTTGCAAAAAAGTGACATTGCAACATTCTTTTAAAAAATGTTGCCAAATCTCATTTGCATTTACCAATGGCAACATTCACTTACATTTTTTTGCGATTGACACCTTTAGCAACATTCAAATAACAAATGTTGCATTTTATGTGTTGCAAAATGACATTTTTATTGTAATCGATTTTCAGTTTATTTATTTTTCTATACAATTTGCTTTTATCAAACCCCATGTCCATATATCGGGCTAGGGATGACAATGGCTCGGCTCGGCTCGACCCGACCCTTTAATCAATGAGCTCGGCTTGGGCTCGTGATTTTATTTATTTATTTTTTTTTTGTGTAAATTTGCACATTTTTGACGAGCCCACAAGCTCGACTCGTGAGATTGAGCCCCCTGACAAGCCCGAGCCGCCCACGAGCCATCGTCAGTTTGACATCCCTATATCGGACCAATCACTGCCATCTTTGCCTCCAAACGGCATTGTATTTATTGATAAAATATCAAATGCACACCTACTTCAACAAACCCTCGTTTAACTTTTAGCTAAAGTTTCATTTTAATCAATCATGCAATTGATATTGTTTGAGATTGATAGCTGAAATTTACATTTCCCCATGATTAGTCAATTAGTTAGAATCCGTAAATCAAACTGACAATTACACTCATATGGTAGATGAGACATAGACATTTCATTATCATGGTTGTCCGCAATTCCAAAGAAAATAACTAGAGTTTGGTAAATTAGGTGTGAACTAGGGTTTGGTGGCAATGATGACTAATGAACTATATCTTTACCGTGGCCATAGCATCGATAACTTATTAATAGATTGTTTGAGTCCCATTTGTGGAAGAATAGATTTTGTATTAGTGATTTTTTAGAAAATTTGTGTTAAAATTTTGAGATTACCCCGACGACCCTTCATAGCACCACTCCGTTTTCATGGAACGTACGTCCTCCGGGTTGTTAATGTAAGTCATGGTCTTTTATCATGCCTTTCCCGCTCGCTGCTTTCCCTCTTTTTCTCCCTTCAATGCCTTACCCTAGAAGGACTCTACTACAGCAGTCCTACAATTTCAAACAACTAATGATGTCTAAATTACAAAAATAATTGTTCAATTTATGAGTTACAAACTATAAAACAAATTTTGTTTATTAATTAAACTATCACAATATTATTCTTGTAGCCGCATAAAATCTAGAAAAACCATGAATATATTGAAAATATTTTGATATCTTTAACATGAGAAATATTGGATTTTCATTAATTTCTCGGCATGCAGTTAGTTTTTCTAAAATTAAAGAATGTGGAAAATATTTTTTTGCTGTAGCTTTAGTGCACGAAATAAATAGATTTCTGATCTCTTTGTTTCTGATTAGGAAATATTTTTATTGAATTAATTATACGCTTTCCATGTAGTTTAATGAATCTGACTGCATTATATATGTATAACCCAACAAGAAAAATAACAATAAATTCATACAATATTATAAGGAAAGAATATAATCCTAAATTCATAAAATATTATATGCATTCCAAATCCACATACACGTATATTTGGAGAAATATTATAATCGGTTCAGATTATAAAAATAAGTTTGACAAAAAATTTAAACACTTTCCATATATTCACATACATATTTTCTGTATATTTTCAGCATATTTCATTGCCTCTATTAATTTATTTCCTTTCTCCTTCTTGAGGGAGTTGTATAGATATGTCTTTCATTTTTGTAATGAAAATTATACAGAAAACTTTCCAGCAACATTGTTAATTTTTCTCTAAATATATCGACATAATTCTTAGTTATGGATCATGTTCGTCTTAGCCTGCTCGTGATTTTCTCCATTGCTGGTGCATATTCTATCAAAGCTGCTGAAGTTCCATATAATCAAAACTATGTTCCGGCATGGGGAGGTGATCATATCAAAGTTCTTGATCAGGGAAGACAAGTTCAGCTTCTAATAGACCGATCTTCAGGTTTTTCCCTAATTAATAATCATTAATTTCTGAGTGTCTGTCCACTTCATGGTATGGCTCATAATTTTTTTCCTATTGAATAATAGGATTGTATCTTGTTAATAATGTATTCGTGTTCTAAGTTATCTTGTTTCTTTTGCGGGTGATATAGGAGCTGGATTTCGATCAAAACAGTTTTTCGGCTCTGGGCTTTTCCGGATCCTAATGAAGATTCCAAGCAAGAACACTAAAGGAATTCTCACAACGTTTTTCGTAAGAATTTTTAGGGTTTATACATCGTCACAAGAGGTTCACCTAATTATATATGCATCTAATTATAAGTTGATTATTTTGCTTGCAGTTAACTTCAGCTATACCTAATCAGCCTGTAAAAAACCACGATGAGCTTGATTTTGAGTTCTTGGGCAGCAATGACAAGGGTTATGCATTGAATACAAATGTTTTTGCCAATGATTTTGGAGGCAGGGAACAACAGTTCAGGCTTTGGTTTGACCCTACTGCAGATTTTCATACATACGAAATTCTTTGGAACCAAAAGCAGATAGTGTATTTCCTCTCTACATTCTTTTTGTCGTTTATATTCGAGACATATTTGATATGCAGTATTCAACAAATCACTATAAGAAAACATGACAATAAATAGAAAACACAGCAATAAATTTTTGTCAGTGTTTCTCGACGTATATTTGGCTAAAATTGATGGAAATATTGTCCAACACCGAACTACTTTTTTCTTCTGTAAAATTTACCGATTGAGTTTCTGTTCAATGATTTTCGTTGGCAAGTCTTCACTTACAACAAGTTGAAGATAAGTAATGGAAGTTTCCATCCTCGCCGACCTGTTTTTATAGTGACTTTATATGCATCAAACTAGACAAGTCGAGTCTATCCAACATGCTATGTGTTCCCCTTCTCATTTAAAAAGTTTATCATTTAATTTATTTATTTATTTTTGCTCGTGTTTAGTTTCTTTGTAGATGGAAGACCTATCAGAGTGTTCAAGAACAACGAACATATTGGAGTAAACTACCCAAAAAATCTGATGCACATAGAAACAAGCTTATGGAATGCAACTTGGGCAGGAAATGTTGATTGGAGCCAAGAACCCTTTATAGCTAACTATAGAGGATTTGAAATTGAAGGGTGCTTATATGACCATTCTAACCCCAATAAATGCTATTCCCAAGACTATTATTGGAATGCCGGAACATATTTGCAATTGAGTCCAAATCAGCAAAGAATCTATGAAGTTTTGAGAAAGAAATATATGTCTTATGACTATTGTACTAAAAATTTAAAGAATCATCCAGAATGTGAAAGTAACAAGTGAACTGATTATAAGAATATTAGATACAGTTTTCGATAGAATTTGATAATACAATAAACAAGATTTTTACTTTATTTATTTTTCTTTAATAATGTCAAAGACTATACGATCTGCTTTATCAAACCCCACGTCCATGCAACTTTTATTGTTTGAGATTGATAGCTGAAATTTACTTTCCCTGTGATTTATAAGCCACTATTTGATGGCCATTGTTGAGAAAAATGATGTTTTGAATAGTGAAGTTTTGAAGGATGTGTGAAAAATTTTGGATTTACATGTAAAATATTTTAATGTGTGAATGCATGGTTGAAAATGAATATAGCAATTAAAGATTATTGTTTTAAATGGAGAAATATAGCATATAAGTCATTTAGTTAGAATCCGTATATCGAACGAACAATTGCACTTATATGGTAGATGAGATATAGGCATTTGTGGAATCTTTTTGATGGGTCTCGATTTTATTCTTATAACAAAATATTCATATATCCATTTAAATGTAACTACATTTTAACTTGTGAGATTAAGTATTCATTTCAAAAGTGAGAAATCTCACATGTGCTAATCTAATCATAATAAAGATGTTAATATTTCGTTATTATTTACGATCACGTATAATTTATTATTCAATCATATGTTATTTGTTTTTCACTATTACAGCTCTTTGTAATTAATAAGTTACTAGGACTTGAATCTACAAAAAAAAGGCTCACTCCCTCTAAACTTGTGGTATGCAGAATCATCAATTGTATTTACTTTAAAACCAAACGAGATAATGATTTGATGAAATTTATGATACCATTGATGGGAAGCTTGCTTAATCTCATAGATGGATTTCTTTAGTTTGTAAACCATCTGATGTCGCTCAAGATCAAAATGTGTCACAAATGAAATAATAGCCTTAAAAGAGTCTTTCATAGAAATCGAAGAGAAAGTCACTTTAAAGTCAATGCCTTCTTTATGATAAAGATATTTACAACAAGAAGAGCATTATATCTTTGTACATCACCCCCTGAATCCCTCTTGATTTCAAATATCCATTTATAACCAATGGGCTTTGCATCTTCACGCAATGGGATGAGTTCACAAAACTTATTGTTACTTATGAGCTTTATCTCTCTATTCATGCATCAATCCACTTTTGAGAATTATTTATTTGCATTGCTTGATGAAAGCTGGTTGATCAAATCTTCCTCCAATCTAATGCCATTATTATTTTCTTAGAAAAAGATTACAAAGTCATCCAAGTTGCCTCTCTTTTCTGTAGTAGATCTCCTTAATAGTATTTGTTCTTAAGGTTGTCGAATTTGTTTTTTGAAACAATCTTTTGATTGTGTATATGGGGTTTTGTAATATTATCTTGATTCAAAATTGATTCTTGAATAAGATCTGTAGTAAAGATTTGTCCCTAATCCTGATAATTGTCAATTGCAACAAAAGAAATATATACATATTCTTCTTCTAAGACAAAATCCCCAACTTTATAACCTTATCTTCCCTACAAACTCTACATCTTCAAAGAATTGAACATTTTTTGTTTCGAAAAAATTGATCTGATAGGGAGACCTTAAAATTTGTAACCCTTGACGTTTCAAAGTATCTAAGAAATTAGCAGTTGACAATTTTGGAGTCCAGATTATTTTTCGATGGCTTATAAGATCTTGTCTTAATTGGACAATCTCAAATGTGTATGTACTTCAAACTAGGCTTCTTGCCTATCCAAAGCTCATAAGGGGGTTTGACGATTGTTTTACTTGGAACTTTATTATGAATTTAAGCTACAGTCTTTAGCGCTTCTTCCTATAGAGATTTAGGTGTATTGTAGGAGGATTCCACATTTCCTTAAGAATTTAGCAAAAAACCATGTACATTGTTTTCCCGATCCTTCATGTCTTATATAGTATTCACCACCATTGTCGAATCCGACTCGTTTTATTATTTTGTCGAGTTGATTTTCAATTTCAGCCTTATAAGCCTTGAACATATCCAATGATTGTGATTTCTTATAAATGAGATAGAGGTAGCTATAGCGAGAATAATCGTCTTTGAACAAAATAAATGACTTTTGACCATTCTAGGAAACCAAAGGAAATGGTCCACAGATATCCATACATATTAGTTCTAAGATGTCCGAAGTTTTATTAGCACCTAATCTCCTTATGTTTGTCTATTTCCCCTTAATGCAATTAATACAAACATTAAAGTCTGTGAAATCAGGGGATTAAGAATTCCTTTTGATACAAGCTATTTCCTGTATCTTTTGAGAGATGTGACTTGATCGTTTGTGCCATAATAAAGTAGAATTCTCATTGGTTAATTTATGTTTAATACCCAGTGAATTCATATGCAATGTTTCTTTATAAGAGACATCCGTATTAAGTAAATAAAGAACGGGTAACCACAATACCTGAATTAAGGAAAAGATCAAACCGATTATTTTCAATTGAACAAGAGTAACCAAATTTATCCAATGTAGAACTAGAAATCAAATTTCGTTTAAAAGACTATCACAAAATGTCTCTTTCATATTCAAATAATAATAAGTCTTTAATAATAACCTAAAAGTCTATATAGCTTCAACTTTAATTGATTTGTCATGGCCCTACATAGATGAATCTTTTAACATCAATTCATGCATATTTGAATAGTGACACTGAAGTTTATCTATTAAGTGCTTTTAGGTACTGAAAATAAATTAACCTCGGACCAGACCGAAGTGAGAAGTGTACTTTACTTTACTTTACACGACAAGTGTGGAATTTAGTACAATCACTCTTCACATGTTCCAAATTTTCACAAAAATAACAGTTAAAATATTTGTCCTTTCAGGATTTTGCGATTTCTTTTAAATCGAATTGGATGCGACTTTCTTATTCTTTAACCTGTCGTTAGAGGTACTTGCTAAGTGAGTAATATTAGTTTTATCCTGCTAAAGCTTTTCTTCTTCTTCTTCTTGAACACAATATAGAATGAGCTCATTAAATGTCAACTTCCCCTTTTGACAGTTGTAACTGACTTTAAATTGACTGAATTCAATAGAAGGAAAGTCAAAACCAAATGCACAAGTCATAAGATAGCTCAAGCTTTTCTGCCTTCAGCTTTGAAGCAAGATTAGACATCTCCATGATGTACTTCTTTATGTTTTCTTGACCGTTATACTTTAGTTAAACTAAATTCGCTAAAAGCATGCTAGTTTTAGTCTTATTACCTTTTGCAAAATGTTTCTCAATTTCCTCGTGAAACTCCTTGACAGTAGTTACCTTTATGCTTGAATGTTACTGAAATTCCACGCTTCATGATCATAAGACTCATGCGGTTTAAACGATCCCACTTATTCGAGTCCCATTTTCATCAATGGAACTCTCATTCGTAAGAGCAATGGGTTGTTTAGTCCTTAACGTAAGATCTGGATCCATGTAGTCAAGAACGATATGAACATTTTCTTTCCATACCTTAAAATTTGGTTTGGTAAGCACGTTTTTTAATTGATTAGTTGCAGATAGTGTAGAAGTAGATGGATTAACCTAATAGGTAACTTAAACTTAAATAACACGTTCACATGGAATTCTATATTAGTCAATTAATTTCAAGTAAACGATGGATTTCATTACAAGAGACCGAGCACAACATTATTATTTTGTCTTTAAATAGAAATATCAACTTGTAAGTGATACTCTTAGTACAGTAATCAAATATTGACAATAAATTCGGTCAAACATCAAGTCTATCTTTGGATGGACTCAATGTTCACATGAAACTTTATTATTATCATATATTTATTACTATAGGAGCGCAAATAATTCGATAAAATATTACCCTTCCTTTGGAGCAGTCAATATCCATATGAATTGCCTATACACAACCTTTCCTATATTTTAAATAAATTAATTTAGACTAGAGAGGTTACTTTGGTAGTATGTTGCTTCAATTATTTTATTTTAGAAAATTAATAATCTGAAAAAACATTAATACCAAGATTTGAATTTGATTGCCCCTTATATTTTATTTTTATTTTTGTTTCCTTTTGTTGTAAAAAGAAAAAAAAAATAAAATTTGGATAGAGGCCGGCATAAAAAAATTAGGTGCCACACTGCCTAGCTGTCCCTATTCATCCATTTATTGAAAATTTTCAAAAAAGTTTCAAAATTTGGAGTTTAGAGTGTGTTTGATTGACATGAAAAATATTACCTAAAAAAGAAAATATTTTCCTTATGTTAAGGAAAACAAAAACCACCTATCCCCAAAGAAAATGTTTTTCTTAAAAACAAAGAAAATTAGGCATATTGTCAAAAGTTGGAAAATACTTTCAATGGAAAAAATAACAATCGAACATCAAAAGTAGGAATTTTGGTAGAAAACTGATATTCTCCATAGAAAATAAATGAAACCTAACACACCCTTAGGGTTAAAAATTATATCTCGAAAAATAAGGAATCCAAAATATGAAGTTCAACCCAAAAAAATCTTGCTTAAAAAAATTCTTAATTTCGAAATTTATGGCTAGAATTCACATTCCAAATTAAAGAATTCTAAAATTCTATGTATGAATTTCAACCAAAAAAATCTTTCTTAAATCTCAATGATTTAACATGAAATTGGCTTTAAAATTGCTTGTTGAAACTTTAAAACTTGAGCTTTGCCAAGATCCTCAAGTCACATCACTAAAAGAATTATTAAATGCGGAACATACCTTAATACATTGGGAATAATTCCTTATTACTGAATATTGATTTCGGATCTTGAATTTTGAAGGTTGATCCATAGTCATAATTTTGAATTCTTTCTTAATTTTTGATTGTTGATTACAGGGTCAAGATCTTGATTGTGGATGTTAGATCTTCCTCTTCAATATCCTTTCTCTTAATTATTCTTGTGTTGATAGGAGTACATAGAATTAGAAGTCACATATGTATTGGGAACTATAATCCTATTTATATTTTCATATGTATTTCCGTCCATCAAGGAAACATAATAATGAATTCGATCTCTACATATGATCCAGCCCATG